TCCCGCCGAGGGTTCGGATCCCACATACAGACTGGCCACTCACTGGCTGAGTGAGGTGCAGACGCAGCACCGAGGGTTGCGATCCTGTTGCCGCTCCCAGTCCGGTATGGGCGCGACACTGAGGGTTGCGATCCGTTGCCGGTCACGAAAAAAGACAAAAAGGAAAAAAAAAAATACAGTTCTCTTTTACACGGTGGATAGCAAAACCATGACTTCGTATGTGCTAGAGAGTAAAATTGTGAGCAGATCCAAATGAGGTGGAGAGAAGTGTCCCAGGTGAAAGCACCTTAATAAATTAAGGTAGCCCAGAGTTGTCCTTCTATCCACTGATAGGTAGTAGCTGGCTGGGCTGACGTTTCTAGGGTATCAGAAGAGTGCTCGTGCCCAGATAAATTCTTCTCCAGTGCTGGCTGTCAGGATTAACACTTTGATGATTCAAGTATACAGAAAAGATCACGAGATGTGGTCAGGAGTACTCATCCTATAACCATGGGCTAGTAGTCGCTTCCCCTTGGTAGGCCATGTCTTTTTTTTTAGAGCAAAGAATTAGTAATCACTAATTATCTCTGATATCCTTCATTGAGATTTTATTTTTTATGAGACAGTGGTTCTATTAAATTATATCATTAATTAAATTACTCTTGTCCTCAAAAATCTACCAATATATACCCATAATCCATAGGATAAAGTCCAAATTTCTTAGTGTAATAATAAAGCCCTTGCACTCTGGCCTCTGCCCCTCTCTACAACCTGTTTTCCTAGAACACTGCACTCCCACTCATCCAAGTTTATTTCATTCACCAGGAACTACCAGACACATTGTCTCTCCTCTTTTTAGAATGCCCTTCCTGTTTTTTTAACATAATGATCTCTTACTTGCTTTTCAACTAGCCCAAAGTCTGTCTCCTCTGAAGTTTTCCCTGCTACCCAAACAGTGTTATTTGCAGTCTTCTGCTGTCCAATTGCCCCATATGGCTGTCTCCACTGTACGCCTATAAAGCTATGTTATGATGATGTGTGTCCATGTCTGTCTCTGCTGATTATATTGCAAACTCCCCAAGGGCAAGGATCGTGCCTTTTTTTATCTCTGTAGGCCTAGTGCCTAGCTCTGGACTTGTGCTTCATAAATAGAGTTCATAAATATTTTAAGGAAGGTAAAGGAAAGAAATGAAAGAAATAAGGAGAGATAAACAATAGTGCTGCGCTTTCAGGAAGGGTTTTCTCCTAAAATGAAAAAGTTATACACCGGATCCACCTCTAGCCTCTGCTCTAATATAGCAGAATAGAGTATGTGTTTCGGAGCTGGCCAAGGTCATGACCTGAGAAGTTTAGGTAGAAGTGATGCAACTGGAGGACTTGCCCGTCATTCTCTGTCTGAATCTGGTAGGCCCAGAAATATTTTGGTTCCAACACAGAGAGAGAAATCTAGCAGCTCAGATTCCTGTGTATCACCTTTGGAAACTGTTAATGAAACACTTTTTTTTAACCTTTCTGTTTCCCCTTCTTGCTACTCTCAAACAGGTCTTCAGATAATATTTCCCCAGTATCTGCAAGAGAAGTTTGTCCAGTCGGCCTTGAGCTACATCATGTGTAATGGCGAGGGGGAGTACGTGTGCCAGGACAGCCAGTGTCAATGCCAGTGTGCTGAGGAGTTCCCGCAGTGCAACTGCCCCGTCACAGACATCCAGATCATGGAGTACACGCTGGCCAACATGGCCACGTCTTGGGCCGAAGCTTATAAAGACCTGGAGAATTCAGGTAGTGAACCTAACTTAGTGCTGCTGTACCAGTGGCTTGTCTAGATTGTCTAGCTCCAGAAGAGGAGACTTATCTAACTGGAATTAGGACTGCTGTGAACAAAAATACAGTGACCCCAACTCTTACACTTCGGAGGGCCCAGAGACAGGTGTAGTAGTAGTCACAGAGTAGACATTCAATAAATCTCCATTGAATGAAATAATGAGTAGCATGATCCAGTGTGTGGCTGTGTGATGTATTGTCTCCATTGTACCCAGAAGACAGAGAGGGTAAGTCTACAGAGGAAGCCTCTGGAGAGTGGAGAGTCAAAGGTAGTGTGTGTGTGTGTGTGTGTGTGTGTGTGTGTGTATGTGTGTTTGTGCTTATAAATAAATAAACACACACATATATGTGTATACATTTACATGTGTTATGCATGTATATGTATGTATATATGTAGATATCACATAGAGATATAGATATAAATAGATATAAATATCCAGGGAATTCACAGACTGTGAAAGCTGCAAGTTACTTCTCTGGAAACTCTGGTATTCCCTTCTTTTTGTGGTTCAGAAAAATGAATTTCAGGGGATGAAAGTCAGTCATCCAAGGTCATAAAGTGGGTGAAGGCCAAAGTTGAATCTCTGCTTTCATGGAACTTTGAGTTTTGTCAGAAAACCAGGCATTAATTATGTAACCATGCAAATGATTATGAAATTCCAAGTGTGCATGTGTAAAGATGGGCCAACTGCTGTGAGCAAATGATGTGGAATGGGGGGTCTGTGTGGTCAGGGAAGAGCCCCCTGAGGAGGAGCAGACGTCTAAGTATCTGACTGTGGTGCAGAGATCAGTGGGTGGGTGCAGGTGGACCCATGGGAGACACAAGGCACCTAGAAGAGAGATGACCATGGTGTGGATTAGGGGAATGGTACAGTAGTAAAAACAAGAAATAAGCAGAGATGCCAAGATTTTTAGAAAAAAAAAATTGGCAGGGCTTAATGTTAGACAGGCTATGGGAGTTGAAAAGAAGAGGCGTATTGAAATGACATCCAAGAACCTCGCTTAGATATGCACGTTAGACAGCTTGATGGATGCTGATTCCCTTCAATGAGCCTAAAACACTCTGAAAGGTTTGAGAGCAGAACACACACTCAGCTTTAGACATAATAAGCTTGAGAATTCTTGAGACTTGCAAGAAGATATGCCATGTAGGTAGTTAGCATATAATATGTGCTCAAATATCTGTTAAATAAATAAACCTATGTAAAGAGCATTACTGTTTTTAAAACAACTTTGTATTCCTTAAATCTGTTATAACAACCACATTAAAGTAACTACTGATATTGCTGTATTATAGAGAGAGGACACCAAGACCCTGTGTCTTCCCTAGGGTTACAAAGTTAGTAAATGACAGTGTTGGTAATGAAATCCCTGATTCCAAATCCAGTGCTCACAGCAGCTTATTAATTTCACTTTACCCCCTGGGTCTTAGTTTCCTCATCTGATAAATGAGAGGACATGTTTGTGTTTTTAATATTTGAATTTATTTAAATCTTTAGCCAAGAAACCCTTTGATCAAACAAAATCTTACCTTGGAGCCACTGTGTACCACAGATAAAAGCAGAGCTCTCTAGAGCAGCATTTGAAAATGACTGCTTTCAATGAACTCTAAGCTCCTAAACAGCTCTGGGAGCACAGGACACATCGGGGACTCTTCTCCTGCAGGGATGCCTTATGAACCTGCACCCATTAGCCCATTTAAAAATCCTGGGAATCCATAAAAGAGAGAAGTTCATGATGAAAATGTATTGTGATGATTGTCTGACCTCAAATTAAAGAAGCATTTGATAAAGATGCTTTTGCAAAGAGATTCTACTGATTGTTAAAAATCAGAGGGGAAGACCGGCCCCGTGGCTCACTCAGGAGAGTGCGGCACTGGTAGCGCCAAGGCCGCGGGTTCAGATCCTACATAGGGATGGCTGATGTGCTCGCTGGCTGAGCGTGGTACAGACCACACCATGCTGAGGGTTGTGATCCCCTTACCGGTCAAAAAAAAAAAAAAAAAAAATCAGAGGGGAATGCAGGCTATAGGCACAAGGAGTGGGGATCTTTAGCAAACAATACTTATTCCCAAGGAAGAGAAACCACTTTGGGTGGGTAAGAAAACCCAGAAAGCTAAGCTGCTGCAGAATAAGGTGAACAGGCCAAGGAAATAATTTATGTCACACTTTCTCCTCATGCAGCATACATTCCTTCTAGATATCCTGTACTTATCCATTTGAAATGGTTTTGCCCATTAAGACAAATCCATCTACCCATACATGCTTCTGTGGCTTCTGTGTGTGGGTGTCCCTTCTGCTCATTTTCAATTCTTAACCTTAACAACTCAGCCCCAGCTAATTTAGAGGGACTAAAGCCCAGCCCAAAGTAAAAGCCATTGATTCCTTGATGGCTCCAGTGTTGGTAGGTAAACAGAACTTTTTAAATTCTATTTTCTTATCAGACCCAAATCTGGGTTCATTGGGAGGACTGTCATGTCCTTTGAAGTCAACAGAGCCCTCTGCAAGGTGAGCTGCATGTCCCCACGGGGGGGGGAAAGTCATGCTGGTCATTCGGGCCAGTCTCCTGTCTCCAGCCAGCTCACCGAATAAATCAATCAAGGCAGAGTCCTCGTTATCCCTTCAATCCTACCTTACTATCCATGAACTATTTAGGAAGTACAGTTCTATGTCACCCCCTCAACATTTGGATTAGATACAATTATACCTGTTTGGCAGATGGGGAAACTGAGGCCTTGAGAGACTAAGGGTTCACAGCTGTTCACTGGTCAAGACGTAAATTGAACTTTTGCATGTCTGACTGTCTATAATGATGTGCCCAGGTTTTCTAGGAATCAGAGACTCCTGTCTTCAGCAACTCTTATGTGTTTTTCACTCCCAACATGCTCAGCATCAGGATTGCCCTCTGTATGTGTTGAAAGAAGTATAGTATATGAAGAAACAACACAGGATTCAGAGCCAGGATAGAGTCTTAATCTTACCATTTAGTATTCATTTGACCTTGGGAAAGTTAACTAACTTCTCCGTGCCCTAGTTTCTTTACAATGGGGGTACTAAAATTGTACCTACCTTGTAGGTTTGCTATAAGAATCAGCTATGTGTTAGATGGTTAGGACTGTGCCTGGTGTCTGTTGAGTACTATGTAAGCATTTAAGAAACAACATGAATATATAATATACCTGAAATTCCATGTAGGTTTTATAACATGAAATGAAAGTGCAGATATATATACACACACACACGTATATATACACACACATATACACACACACACACACATACACACACACACACACACACACACACACATATATATTTTAACCCAACCATTGGCCTTTTGTCCTGCTAATAATCAACCCCTTCTTTAATTTTCCCGGTAGTTGGGGTAAAATGGTAGGGGGGTAGGGCAGGGGGAGTACTAGGTTAAAAGGCAACAGTTCAGGTTTTAGACCTGGCTCTTTTTCACTCATAGGCTGTGTTACCTTCAGAAAATCATTTTTCCACTTTGGGCTTCAGTTTTTCTATATGTAGAACAAGAAAGTTAAACTAGAGAATTTCTAAGCCTGCGTCAAGTTGTAGCACATGCTGATGCTCTGAAACTCAGCTTCACAAACTGAGGCAGAAACTTTCACCTAGGAGACCGAAGTATTTGTCACAATCTCTTAAATTGGAGTTTTCCAAAATTTGAGATGATGTTAGATGCTATACACTTACAACTTGAAATAACACCGGATCACTGAGTGGGAGGTTGATCTATTTCAGCTCTTTGTCAAACCTGCAGACTACATCAAAGAGAAAGTTTCCTTGGTGCTAATATGCCTCTAACACCTCTCTAACACTTGCTAATTTCCTATATTTCAAAGTGAGAGCAGGCATGGAGGATTGCTCATTTAGCAGGCAACAGTATTTGACTAAAATTTATTGACATTATTTTCATTATATTTATTTTTATAGCTACCATTCTACTGAGGCATGCAATAGAAATTTTCTGTGTAGAATGAGATCCAAATTTTGTTTTGAATCTTTAACTAAACATTGATTTGATTCAAAGAAAATATTAAGTAAATACAATGATGTGTGAATATTAACATAAAGTTGGCATTCCGATGGCACAAGTTTGGGAAGCGCTGTCTGAAGGAAAGATACAGTATGCAGATTTATGTCACCTCTCCCAGGGTGATGGAGACGTAAAGGATTACTCAAAGCCCATTTCTTCTGAGCAGTGAGAGGCCCCGAAGGGTTAAATTTCCAGGAACCCTCAAGAGAGCAGCATTCCTCAGAAAATTAACCCCAAACTCGAGTTTTCTCTCAGTATTTATTCTCCAGGCCAGAAAGTTACAGAAAAGGAACATAGGTGGTTACAAAAAGAACAGTAAGATAATTGTCATGGCAACAATCATTAGGTTTAGCTACCAAGGACATCTGTCCTTAGAGCCAGCAATTTTTCTGTATTACAATTCTTTATCTACAACAGAGACTTTAGCCTGGGGAAAGTTTTCTGTCTTTCTCAAGCTTAACATTTCTATGTGTATTTCTAAAAAGTTAGGCTATACCTGAAACTACAGGGCCTTGGAAGCTAGGCCCTGTGAAATATACTTGCTTTATTAATGTCAGTACCCGCCACAGATTTACTTCATTAAAAAGAGCAGTGGCCCTTGCCTTGTCTATAGGAGCAGGGAAGGCTAATGCCATGTTCTCTTGGCCTCAGACAAGTTTATCTTATTTTATTTGTTTACTTATTTTTTATTTTCAGGCCTACTTTATTGGCAGTTGGGGCTAAGCATTAAAGGCAACTTCAGGGGGCTGTCAGGCTTAGCCATTTTTTCTTTTTTGTCTCTTGCTAGATGAGTTTAAATCGTTTATGAAGCGTCTCCCAAGCAACCACTTCCTGACCATTGGGAGCATCCATCAGCACTGGGGCAATGACTGGGACCTGCAGAACCGCTACAAGCTCTTACAGAGTGCAACAGAGGCACAGAGGCAAAAGATCCAACGCACTGCCCGCAAGCTCTTTGGCCTGAGTGTACGCTGCCGCCACAATCCCAACCACCAGCTGCCTAGAGAGAGGTAAGTGCTGCCACCTCCACCTCTCCAGGCACCAATCTGACTCAGTACTAGTTCACATGGGCTTGCTGCAGAGAGAAATGCAGCAAAGATGGTGTATTGGAGGTGGCAAGCAAGGCCATGGTCCAGACTAAGAACTTTCTGGATCATCTCTGGCCACATTGGATTTCACATTGTTTCCTGCATATACCATGAACTTTCAGCCTCTGTGTTCTGTCTGATCCATCTGGCAGAGGAAAGGAACCAACACTAGCCCTCTCAGCTATGTGGCATTATTATAGTTGCTTAAGATGTATTATCTATTTCATTTTTAAATTACTGTGCAAGTCAGAGTTTAGCATCCCCATCTTAACGGTGAAGAAACTAATCAATCAACTTATTTATTAAGGGCCTTTGATCAGGGACTGGAATAAAGTGAAACTAATGAGGCATGGAAATTCTGCTCTGTAAGGTGCAAGATTTAAGGAGGCACGTGCTCTCTGGGTCATTGAGTGCAGGGTCCACACCTGAGAGTGAGTGCCTTCTTAAGTTCCTGGTTGCCTCACCTACCTCATCTAGTCCCAGCCCTGCCCTGGATGTACCAGATATTCTGACAGATGATGGAGAATACAAGGATACATAAAACAGGGCCCATGCCATCACAGAATTAGGGTTTATCTACACCTTTGTCTACCCTGTGTTACTAGGGACGCACAGAGAAGGAGCTAGGATTCAAATCCAGGTCTTTTGGACTCCGTTCTTTCAAGGGATTTCTGATCTGCAGCTGGGAGTTTTCTGTAACGGTGCCTCCAGGATTTTTAGGAGGGCACCACAGGACAGCAAGAAGGCAGGACTGGGGGCTCTCTGCTCTCCCTTAGCCAGAGCAGCTCTGCTTTAACTAATTTCTTATTTGGGGGTCTACCTTCAATTTTAGCAGAAAAGAGATCCACTCTTAAAAAGAATGAAGCCAGATATGTTCACTTAGCAAGCTCTGTGTCAGCCACATATTTTTTTTCCTTTTTTCACATTTTAGACATATGGTTATTTTATTTTATTTTTTACATAAGTTTTAGTTTTGATTATACCTACAGAGTTGACTACCAGTATTTGTGTACAGTATGTGATGATCAAATCAATATTAGCATGCTCATCATTACAACTCTTAATTACTCTTGTGTCACGTACCCAATTACTCCCTGACCTCCTTTTCCCCTCCTGCTTTTCCACCAACTATAGGTCTGTTCTCTCCTGAAAATTCAATGTTTTATTGTGGCCTTCCTTCCTTCCTTCCTTCCTTCCTTCCTTCCTTCCTTCCTTCCTTCCTTCCTTCCTTCCTTCCTTCCTTCCTTCCTTCCTTCCTTCTCTCCCTCCCTCTCTCCCTCCCTCCCACTTATGAGTGAGGACATGTGGTATTTCTCTTTCTGTGCCTGGCTTATTTCACTGAACATAATTTTCTCCAAGCTCATCCATGTTGCTGTGAGTGGCAAAATTTCAATCCTTTTTATGGCTGAGTAGTATTGCATTGTGTATATCTACCACATTTTCCTTATTCAGTCACCCATCAGTGGGCATTTAAGTTGGTTCTATATCTTGGCTATTGTAGATAGAGCTGTGATGAGCATGGGAATACAGGTATCCCTTTGACAAGAGTATTTCCATTCCTTTGGGTATATACCCAGAAGTGGGATAGCTAATTCATATGGTAGTTCTGTCTGTAGCTGTCTGAGAAACCTCCATAATCTTTTCCATAATGGCTGTACTAATTTACAGTCCCACCAGCAGTGTAGAAGAGTTCCCTTCTTGGGCCGGCCCGGTGGCGCACTCGGTTGAGTGCGGCGCTTGGGAGTGTGGCGGCACTCCCGCCGAGGGTTCAGATCCCATATAGAGACCAGTCCACTCACTGGCTGAGCGCGGTGTGGGCGCAACACCGAGGGTTACAATCCTGTTGCCGGTTGCGATCCCATTGCTGGTTGCGGTACGGGCACGACACCGAGGGTTGTGATCCCATTACCGGTCACGAAAAAAGACAAAAAAAAAAAAAAAAAAAAAGAAGAGTTCCCTTCTCTCCACATTCTCACCAGCATTTGTTATTCTCAGTCTTTTTGGTAATAGGCAGTCTAACTGCGGTGAGATGATATCTCAATGTGGTTTTGATTTGCATTTTCCTGATGATTAATGATGTTGAATATTTTTTTCATGTACCTATTGTCCATTTGTACGTGCTCCTTTGAAAAATGTCTATTCAGCTCCAGCTCCTTTGCTCATTTTTTAATGGGACTTTTTTTTTTTTTTTTTTTAACAGTGAAATTGAGTTCCTTATATATTCTGGATATCGATCCCCTGTTAGATGTATAGTTTGCTCATATTTTCTCCCATTCTGTAGGTTATCTTTTCACTCTGTTGATTGTTGCCTTTGCTGTGCAGAAACTTTTTAGTTTGACATAATCTCATTTGTTTATTTATTTTTTTTCTGTTGCTTGTGCTTTTGGGGTCTTACTTATAAAGTCTTTGCCTGGTAGTATGTCCTGAAATGTTTTCCCTATGTTTTCTTCTAGGAGTTTTATAGTTTCAAGTCTTTTATTAAATCTTTAATCCATTTTGAGTTGATTTTGGTATATGGCGATAGGTATGGGTCTAGTTTCATTCTCCACATGGATCTCCAGTTTTCTCAGCACCATCTACTGACAAGACTGTCCTTTCCCCAATGGATGTTCTTGGTGCCTTTGTCAAAAATCAGGGGCTATAGGTAGCTGGATTAATTTCTGCATTCTCCATTTTGTTCCATTGGCCCATGTGTCTTTTTTTTTTTTAATGTCAGTGCCATTCAGCCACATATTTATATAAATGATTGTTACCCTGTTGTACAGACCAGGAAACTAAAGCTCAGAGAGGTCAAGTAATTGGTCCAAAGTACAGTGTAAATCAGTGGTTCTCAAATGGGAGTGACTTTGCCCTTAGGGTAGTTTGCAAATGTTGGAAAACATTTTTGATTGTCATAATCAAAATTATGAAACAATTTTAAGGAAAACAGGGGAGGGGATACTATTGCTTAGGACAGCCCCCACAACAAAGAATTATCTGGTCCCAAAATTCAATGGTGCTGAGGTTCAGAAACTCTTATGTAAGAGGAAGAGATAAGATGCCACCTAAATCTATAAATCTAAATCTTATCTTGCTAACTACCCTGTTCTACTGGCACTAAAGATTTAAAAACCATGGTCCTCTTCTAAGCAGTCCCTCCAACCTAACCACTCCATCCATGCACCCTTTTCCTTCTCATTTTTCCTTGATTCAGGGCTAATGTCCCCTCCTCCATGAAGTTTTTTGTGGCTATACCAGCCAATACAGAAAACTTCTTATTCTATGTTCCCATTCATCTAACACTCATTTCTTAGTGTGGTTTCCCCTCTTTTCTCCATTATCGAACCTCCTCCTTATATACTTGTCCACGCTCTTCTCTGTTTTTCCCTTTCCCTTCAACTCTGAGCCCACTGCTTTGCACCTAGTTGATGATGATTATTTTGAGAATCAAGTAGAATTTCTTCTGCTAGCTTCTTTCTTGTTACAATGTTGCTAAACCAGGGCCTAGGAAAAGGATCAGACACAAAACAGCTTTTTTGTTATATGCAACCGATGCCAAACTGACATCAAGTGTTAGTTTCTGAAGTAACTTCCATTTAGATCCATCAGGCACTGTGGGAGATTCAGATATGAAAGCAGCAAACCATGCTATGACCAGTGACCTTTATGTAGCACAGGATTGGGGAGGGTGCTGTGGGCAATCAGGAAAAACTCCACATATTTATTAATTTGCTAGGGCTGCCATAACTGGGCATCATGGACCAGGTGGCTTAAACAACATAAATTTATTTCCTCACATTTCTGGTGGCCGAAAGTCCAAAATCGAGATGTCAGCAGGGGTTGGTTCCTTCTGAGGCCTCTCTCCTTGGCTTGTAAATGGTTATCTTCTCATTGTGTCTTCACAAGATCTTTCCTCTCTGTGTGTATCTATGTCCTGATCTCTTCTTAAAAGGACACCAGTCATATTGGATTAGGGCTCACCCCTCACTCATTTTAACTTAATTACCATGTTGAAGATCTTATCTCCAAATACAGTCACATTCTGAGGTGTTGGGAGTTAGGACTTTAACATATGAATTGGAGGGGGTGAGGATTTTATTCAACCCATAACACCATAAGAGGTGGCTTTTCATCAGATGTTTAGCTGAAGAAACTGCATTCCAAGGTTTAATCAAGCTGAACACAAATTCTGCTGATGAGGGCAACATTTAACCATTACCAAACTTCAGACAGATGCATCTGTCTGTTTTGATGATTGTCACCTCAGAGAATAGAGTGTAAGGTCCAAAGGTCCAAAGGCACTGCCAGACACATTAGTTAAAGGTGAGAGGAATCTACAGATCACAGAGGATCACCAGGTGTGCCAGGTCTAGGGAAGACTCAGGCAGACTCCAGAAGGAGAGTAGAGTAGCTGGAGAGATATTGGAAGGGAGGAAGGAGGGACAAAACTGGGTGATTGTAAGAACACCAGACAGAGTCAGGGGGCCTGGATTTGAGATGATGCCTTACCATTAGTGAGTTACATGACTTTTAACAAGTCACCTCAGTATTCTGAGTGCAGGTGGCCACATCTGGGCCATCTTCCTGTGCAAGCTGTCAGGTGTAGGTAGCTAGAAATGTCCTGCCACCACTCAGATCTTCAAAGAAAGAGCTCACAGTCTTTCTCCCTGTCCTCCTGAAATGAAAAAGCTTGCCCTAATCATAATATTCTTCTCACCTAGAGAGGATGTCTGGAAGGACCCCCGCCCCCCCCCCCCCCCCCCCCCCCC